GGTTGGAAAGGGGGAACCGATTACAAGGATCTACATGTGACCTCCTCCCTGGGGGATGGACAACAGAAAAGTGGGTGAAGGGAGACGTCAGACAGGGAAAGATATGACAAAATAATACTTTATAAATTATCAAGTGTTCATGAGGGAGTGGGGAGCAAGGAGGGAGGGGGGAAATGAGGAGCTGATGCCAGGGGCTTAGGTGGAGAGCAAATGTTTTGAGAATGATGAAGGCAATGCGCTTTACACAATGCGCTTTACACAATTGATGTATATATGGATTGTGATAAGAGTTGTATGAGCCCCTAATAAAACGATTAAAAAAAAGAAATTACAGAATGTATATAACTTCTATCTGACAGAAATGCCTGTGTGCTTCAAACAGTTAACAAGCTCTGCTGCTAAGGGAAAAAGGTTGATGGTTTGATTCCACCCAGCGGTGCTTCAAAAGAGAGGCCTGGTGACCTATACCACCCAACACCATTGAACGTTCCTAGGCCGCGGTCTCCTCTGACACTCCGGGGCCACCCTGAGTGTCATGGTGGAATCAACTCCAAGGCCACGGTGCTGTCACGGTATAAATATCCACCGGCACAGGCGCGCCCTGACGCCCCTTCCTGGGCTAGCCCTGCGTGGGTCTCCAGCCTGGCCAAAGAGGGATCTTCCTCCCCCACCAGAGCTGCCAACGCCCTGAGGGGAGAGCCTTGCATGTGGCCATGCTTTCCAGTGAGACGGGGATGATGCCTCTCCCTGTCCAGCCCATCCCACCCAGGGGCAGCTCGGCTAGTCCCTACCTGATCTCTGTGGGTCCTTGGGAAGCCTGCAGCCTCCGGTGAACAGCATCTCGGCCTCCCTGGCCAGCAGCGCATAGCGTGGTTCATCCTGCATCCCGTCGTATTCCCCATTCTCGTCACAGTCCGTGGTCTCTAGGGCAGTGTTGTACCAGTGCAGGGCCTCTAACCAGTCTCGGGACCTGCCAAGGAAAACAGGGAGAGGAGCAGGTCACCCAGGCAATGGGACAGGAGGGCCAAGTCAGGGATCCCAGGGGGACCCTTCCAGGGCCCATCCAGAATGGCACCCATCCAGGGGAGGGGGTGGGGGGCATTCAGTGTCCGTGGATACAAGATGCCAAGCTCTCCTTGGCAAAATCAGTAAGTTACACGTAGCCAACAGAAGGATGTAGAAAATCTCGAAGACAGGAAGGCCCTTATGGGCTGCTAACCTCCAGGTCAGCAGTTCGAAACCACCAGGAAGAGGAGCCTTCCTACTCCCATAAAGACTGCCAGTCCTGGGAACCCTGTCCTCCAGACAATGAGCGAGGGAGTGAGGCCCTCGTAGGGTGCCTGGGTTAGTCTGCCCCATCACTCAGGTAGGAGGATTGGTGAGGTGGACCCTTTGCTGTAGTCTCTAGAACCATCCAATTAACAGCAGCGGGTTTGAACATCCGGCCTTTCTGTGAGCAGCTGAGTACTTAACCACTGAGCCACCAGAGCTCATTTCTACTCCTCAACCCTGGACCATTTTCCCTGTTGGCAGTGCACATGTGGTCAAACCACCCCGGGCAGGCTTAGGCTCCACCCGAAGCTGAACACACCAAGCCGGGAGCACACAGGCTCACAGACCGCCTTGTCTTTTCCTGGGTGCACTGGGTCCATAGCCCGAAGCATGTGGTAACTATTAATAGCATACCAGGAAAAGGCAATGGGAGGGGTACTGAGAAGCAAGCGGTCTGTGGGTCTCACAAAACGATCCAGAAACAATAGTCGTGAGGTCTTCCTGACCTTGCCTCTTTGTCCTGCCCCCTGTACCAAGATCCTGCTCACCCTCCAGTCTCAGTAACCGTGCCAGGCCCGCCGCGGGGCTCCCTCTTCCTCCAACACACTCAGCTCTTGCCTGCATGTGACTTCTGCACCTGCTGTTCCCTCTGACTAGAACGTTCTGCCTCCAACTCTTTTCACAGCTGGATCCGCATCCCTCTGCTTGTCCATCACCTCTTCAGAGACACTGTCCCCCCACACCCCGTGTCCTTACCCTGATGACCTCCATCTGTAATTTTCCCGGTTACTTGTTCATTTGTTAATTATCTGTTTCCCCTGACTGGAACATGAGCTCCAAAGAGGCAAGGGCCTTGTCTGCCTGGTTCCCTGCTGTCCTCCCAGAGCTGGCTCAACAGCCTAGGCTCAATAGATGTTTGTTGGGTGAATCATTCTAAACAAGTGGTTGGTTGTAATGGTGTTGCGATCACCTACCTTGACTCCATTCTGCTTTGAACAGAAGGAAAGTACACTGAAAATGACTGGTGGCACACCCGGCAAACTAGGGTTGTAGCGCTGGACTAGATGAGCTCAGGTGGCCTTGTGCAC